ACCGGGGTGTCTGGGGCCCGAAAAAAAACAAAGGGTTTGCCCGCTGCAAAAGGGTGGAATTTGACGGGAATTTACAAAGGATTTTTTGATGGGTCCCGGGCCCCAAAACCAAAAAAAACCATTTTTGGGGGAAAGGTTTTCACTTTTTTCCCTTGGGGGAAAATTGGATTTTTGGATACTTTGGGGGAAAAAGGGGGTTTTAAAAATTTAACACAAATTTTAACAAGTTTTCAAAATAAAAAAGGGAAAAAGCACGGGGGAAATTAAAAACAAGGGGCCAAGATGGCCCCCAGAAACGTCACCCGAACCCGTCAAAACCATTTTTCCGAACAAATTACCTTTTAACAAGCTTCGACCAATTTATGAAGGTTTTTTCCAAAAAAGGTTTCCAAATTTTTAACAAGGGTTAACCATATTTACCCGGTGACCCAAATTTTTGAAAACCTTTAGGTGAACCCCAAAATTCGAGCTTGAACATTCGATCAATTACCTAAAACAAGCATCCTGACCAAAATTTAATGATAAATTTTCAAAAAAAGTGACACAATGTGTTCACAAGGTTTTTCTATTTTTAGCTCCTGTGACCTAGTTTTCCATCCGAGATAAATCATGCAAACTCATCCAAGCAATTGACTAGACAAGCATTCTGACCAAGTTTGATGATGATGATTGGTTGAAAAATGTGACCACTAGAGTGTTTACAAGTTTTTTCTATTTATAGCTCCTGTGACCTAGATTTTCATCGGAGATGACCCATGTTCGAAGTCATCCAAGCAATAATCTAAACAAGCATTCTGACAAAGGTTGATGATGATTGGGTCAAAAATGTGACCACTAGAGTGTTCACAAGATTTTTCTATTTTTAGCTCCTTTGACCTATTTTTCCATCCGAAATGACCCAGTTTCGAACTCATCCGAGCAATTGACTAAACAAGCATCCTGACTAAGTTTGATGATGATTGAATCATAAGTGTGACCACTAGTGTGTTCACAAGCAATTGTGGACGTACGACGGACGACGGACATTCACCGATCCTAATAGCTTACCCTGAACAAGCTCAGGTGAGCTAACAAGGCAGTAAAAGACCTTAATTCAACACCATCGTTTAATTTTGTTCTAAATTCTATGGGAAATTTCAAAAGACTGGGGAATTTTGAGAACCAAACTGGGGGGAAAAGAGGCTAGTTTGGTTGGGGAAGCAGCCTATATTCGGCCTCTACAAAGAAGGATAACAGCATTCTGCAGTTTGGCAACTTTAAATTAGAATAACATAATGTGATTTTTTTAAATTAACTTATTTGAATTATTTATTAATGCAATACTATGTAGAGTTAGTAACATTTGTGAATCTAAAGTTTTAATATTTCTATGACTATGTGTCGAAATTGGCCGACAGAGAAGATAAGTATCGTTCAATTTCGACACCCCTGTACAATTGTTATGCGTCTTATAATTATGAATAAACTCAAGCTTAAATGTTCATAATATCCATGTTTAAGGTTTATTTGCATTGAAACCAATACATAAATACGAAATGATGATATAGTTATGTGCCTGAGTTATCGACCCTTCTTATAAGATAAATGCCGTTTTTTCGGATAAGATTACGAGGAATGACATCTGTATACCGGACATTTCTAGAAAAGGAAGTTTGTTTGTTTGTTTTATTTTACGGCTTTTCCCAACAGTATTTCAGTCATATAGGCGGATAGATACCGGAGAGTAACACCAGTACTAGACTACCTTCCTCTCCGCTAAACTACCAAAGCATCTCCCGGGGATCGAACCCACGCCAGAGAGGAAACTGGATTAGAAGTCGTCGACTCTAACCACTCGACCACGGAGGCGGTTTAGAAAAGGAAGAATGCATAAAAGACCAAGAGCAAGTGATGACGTCACATATAGTTCTGACATCGTAAAATTGATTTAAATCATGTAGAAAATGATGCTTTATTGTTAATAAAATAGGAAAACGAAAGAAGGTATCGAAATTATACCAGTTTCGACATTACCCGAAGTTGCTCTATTATTTTTGAAATGGAATACATTTTAAGTAGTCTCAGGTTACCGAGAATGAGTGTATTACCTAACACAAAGTATGAGCATTGTGTACACCGGTCTTACTGACCTGTGTGAATCCACGCTAAGCATGATGGGAACGCACTACCTTTTACATGGCGGCTTGAACACCGAAGTGATAGAACAAATCGAAAATGGGGCCAGTTGAAAAATTAAACTTTTTCCATACTCTGTTGGCATAATAGCCATTACATCATTTTTACTCAACATGCACCAAACACTCTTCTGACAATCCTTTATTGGTTTTAAAAATCCAGTTTCGTTCAACACCCGTGATAGTATTTCGTCGATTGTTAGTTTAAATTAAAACCGAAAGTGAAAGTAGTTTTGAATATTTGAATTGGAACTATCAATATTGCACTTGCAATATTAAACTCTGGAAAACAGTGACCCTTTCAAAGCAATTAACGATTTTAATCACTTGAAAAGATATATTGTGGTTTGTGAAATAAACTTGTCATCCCTACGCGGACTTTTTTCTGTCGGAGTCATTTTTACCCTCATTTGGGGTGAGTAATGCGTCGTAAGACACAGGTCGATATTTGAGTATACAATGAAGTATGAGAGTTAGGCTTGTTGACACTTGGTCACTTCATAATTATTTGAAGTTTAGATTTAATCAGAGGAGCTTGAAAGTCTATCAAATAACCAATAACATTGATAATATCCAAAAAATACCCCTTTTATAGTATAAAACACTAAAAAGAGGGTATATTTTGGATATCATTAATTTGGGATATTTGATTAATTAAATAATAATGATTAGCTTTTCCAAGACTAGATAGTTTGTAAAAGTGGCCCACCAGTGTAGGTAGGTATAGATAATAAGATATTTCAAGACTAGATTGTTTGTAATAGTGGCCCACCCGTGTAGGTAGGTATTAATGATAAGATATTTCAAGACTAGATAGTTTGTAATAGTGGCCCACCAGTGTAGGTAGGTTTTCATAATGAGATATAGTAAGGTTGAATAAGATTTTAATAGTGGCCCACCAGTGTAGGTAGGTATAAATGATAAGATTTTCCAAGACTAGATAGTTTGTAAAAGTGGCCCACCAGTGTAGGTAGGTATAGATAATAAGATATTTCAAGACTAGATAGTTTGTAATAGTGGCCTACCAGTGTAGGTAGGTATTCATAATAAGATATTTCAAGACTAGATAGTTTGTGATAGTGGCCCACCAGTGTAGGTAGGTATTAATAATGAGAGATTTCAAGACTAGTTAGTAAGTAATAGTGACCCACCAGTGTAGGTAGGTATTTATATTAGAATATTTCAAGACTAGATTGTTTGTAATAGTGGCCCACCAGTGTAGGTAGGTATTAAATCCTATTTAGCCTTTAAACATCTTCTTCTACGGTACTAATTGATGTATGATCACCAAACTTTGTCTGTAGCATTTTTGGGTAGTCGTTCATCAAGTTTGCTCATATTAATTTGATTGGCCCCTTTTAGGGGTCTCTAGGGCTAAAAATAGAAAAACCTTTAAACATCTTCTTCTACAGAACTAATTGATGGATGATCACCAAACTTTGTCTGTAGCATTCTCGGGAAGTGTTTTATCAAGTTTCCTCATATTAATTTGATTGGCCCCTAATATGGGCCACTTAAGCTAAAAACATAAATACCGTTAAATGTCTATTTCTAGAGAACTAATTGATGGATGATCACCAAACTTTGTCTGAAGCATTCTTGGATAGTCTTTTATCAAGTTTGCTAATACTATTTTGATTGGCCCCTTTTAGGAGCCGCAAAAGCTAAAAATAGAAATACCTTTTAATGTCTATTTCTACAGAACTAATTTATGGATGGTCACCAAACATTGTCTTTAGCATTCTTGGGTAGTCTTATATTAAGTTTGCTCATATTAATTTGATTAGCCCCTTTTAGGGGTCTCTATAGCTAAAAATAGAAAAACCTTTAGATATCTTCTTCTACAGAACTAATTGATGGCTGATCACCAAACTTTGTCTGTAACATAATCTTTGGTAGTCTTTTATCAAGTTTGCTCATATGAATTTGATTGGCCCCTTTTAGGGGCTGCTTAAGCTAAAAATAGAAATACCTTTAAATGTCTATTTCTACAGAACTAAACCTTCGAACATCATTTCCTACTGAAATAATTGAGAGATGATCACCAAACTGTAGCATTTTTAGATAGTCTTTTATCAAGTTTTCTCATTTTAATTTGATTAGCCCCGTTTAAGCTAAAGCTTAAATGCCCCAGGTCATGGCATTTCTTCAAATTATTGTTTAAACATATTCTATGCTCAAATTTAATATTATAATATATTGACATTCCAACACTGAAAAGCAGTTGATTCTGGTGAGCGACTCAGGGCCATCATGGCCCTCTTGTATTTCGTACCACCATTTTGACAGAACTTTGTTACTTCAGTTACAATAAGGACTTGATATGGATATTTTGGACTTTCAAAAATGAAAACGAGGGTATTTGGGATGTTTATAACTTTATTTATCATTTTTTTGTGTGTCTAAACATACATACGTGTTATCTTATCTTTTATACAGATCACATAACTAGCCCCACCTCTGTTGTTCTGCCAATCAAACGTATCATAGAGGTGTGTCACAAACACGGTGTTGTTGTTGTAGTGGACGCCGCTCATGTCCCTGGTCAACTGCAAGTTGATATACAAGACATTGATGCCGATTTCTATTGTGGTGAACATATTTTTTTACTCCCAGATGTTCAGTGTGAAAAAAACTACCAGACTTTCTCACTATGAGTTGGTAAAATGAAAGAATATAGTTAAGTATTTATTAATGCCTTTTACAGAGTACTAGACTGAACGATAACATATTTTATAACGATTTTAGTATGTGCAGCTAATAAACACATGCTTTCCCTGTGGCTCTGCGTTAAAATATTTTTATATTGAGTTTAAAAAGTTTAAAGACCGTCATAGATTCTATGTTAATGTTGAATTTTCAGATGTTGAAAGCTATTATGGTTATATCAAGTATTTCCATTCATTTTAGGTACGATGCACAAATGGGCGTTTAGTCCGCGAGCGTGTGCCTTCATATGGATGAACCCAAAACGCCACCATGCCTGGTTCAGACCCCTCATTACATCAAAATTTGAAAACGAGGCTCTTCAGGACGCTTTTTCATTTGAAGGTTTGCTCTGTTTCATATATGTCTGTACAAAAACATGTAATTATATTTTATTCATGCCTACCTAAAAAAATGTTTATCGTTTAAAGGCATGAAGCAAATTTCTGCCTGTACAGTAAGTAGTATACTGTGCTCCTCTTAGTTCACGGTACTTAACCCTTTGAAGCAAAAAAGAAAACAACACATAAAACCTATGGTACAAAAATTGTCATAAGCTATAACATATATGTATTTTCTGCTATATTACACAAGGAAACAACAATATATTTAGTCAAAATCAATATAAATGAGCCAGACGTAAACCATATGTCGGCCATTTCGAAAACAGTATGTCATCATTTAAATCGCGGTTAAATGGTGTTTTATTTCAGTTTTTTCATGTTTCAGTTAAAATTTCTACATGTTATTTTATATAATTTTAAATATTAAAGTTTCTTGACATTGTAACTCAAAATTTATTTTGTAAACAAACAAGAACATTTAGAAAATGATGATTGTTTCAGACGTATGCACAAATTTAACGGACAATTGTTGCTTTTTGCAGAAGTTTGTAAAATGTTGTTTTGTTTTACGTAAAAATCTATAGATTTAAAATATTTTGCACAAAATCTATGTTATTTAGTTGTATGAATAAAATATGTCAATTTTGACCAATTTTAACACTATTCACATAAAAATTTGCCATTAGCGTGAAATAAGTGATGACGCGGAATAAGTGATGTTGAGTATAGAACATAGGCCTACAGAAAGAAACTTTAGATTTAATTTATATCTGGCTGGCACCGGAAGATTAATTGCAAGAAGAAAACCTTTACAAATATCTTTATGTAACGGTATTGAGTTTGCAATTTTATTTATCCTATAGGCGTTAATAATTGATAAATTTTCAAGTTCTTGTAGTTTAGGATAGCAAAATATTATATTAGAAAGAAGAATTTTGACAAGTTATATGGTCATATATAAACAGTTTTTGTATATATAGCCCGATCCTTACAAGAAATAGATCTACCCTGAAAGGGTAAATGCAGAGATGTTTAATTCACCATTGCATGCATCGTTTAATTATCAAAATAAACCATTCCCATCCATTTGTTAATCATTTAGATTATTACAAGTTGTTGAATACTGATAAAATGTATTATTTTGTTGTTGCTTTTTTGCCAAACGCAGATTGCGCATGCGCGAAATGCTACTTCCGTTTGTAAAAAGGTCAGCCGTTTAAACGTCACGATTATCAAACGGGGCCCGTGCTCTCAGTGTTTAAAAATTAAGCCTAGAATATAGAAATACACAGAAAATCCATGAAAATCGACGTTTGAAACAGAAACATGCAGTTGTTTTAGATTAAATGCATTAATATCTTTTCGTACTGGAAACGAATGAAATACATGTATATGAGGTGCCTCAAATATATTGACTAGAATACAGCAGCATTTACATACATAATCTATGGTGCATGATTTGGTACATTGCGCGTTGTGTTTTCGATAGTCGCGCTGTCTTCATATCGTCCTGTCTCTAGCGAAACACGCCAACTGGCGCGTTGTCGTGCGATATCACCTCGTCGCTTGGTATATAAGCTTATCCTTCGATTTGAACCGAGCGACAATGTGACATCGCGACAACACGCCGCACGACAACGTGCCGTTTGGCGTACACCGTTAGCGACAGGACGACAAGACGAAAGTCCGACAACGCGCCTTTTGGCGCCAACACGTCGCACAAAAGCGACCCAAATCAGCCACCATAGTAATTGGAAAAAAATCAAAATAGCAATTACTAGTTCGTGTTGATATCCACAGGCACTAATGACGACACGCCCTTCATATGTTCTGCTGATGGAATCGAATACATGAATCGGATCGGTGGAATGGTAAGCTTTAATATTGATATCTATATAAAATAAAAGATAAACTGGAGAATATATAACCAACTATATGGGAGAATGAGGCGTGGTCAGTACACTGGGTTAGAAAATAAGATACATTTATAAGTTAACATTTATTTAAGTAAAAAAGAGATCCTTTTAGAGGGTAATTCAGGGTAGATAACTTACTACATGTACATGATACCATAGGAGTAAGGACTGGTTATCTAACGTGCATGGTATAAAGCACCAAAATCAAAGCACAGAAGGCGCTGAATGTGTTGCGTCTCAGAATGTCAGAAAGGTGAAGGTTGCGAGATTATAAACCAATTTGTTTTTGTATAGTGTCACCAATGCTTTCCAGCCTTTTATTGTTTGATTTTATTAACCTGTCAATTCCATACTGATTATACGGTCAATGCACAGAATATATTAATATTCGATAAATGTTCGGTAAATTCCGTGAGATATGCGCAGTAAGATGTGATAAAATTCATCTTGTTATTTTGAATTAGTTACACTGACCGTTATAGTGCAATAGGGTAAATCACTGGTATATTTTATCTGAATGTTCAACGTGTTGTAGGATCGAGACAGAGTATGTCCAGTATTTTTTTATTCATAACCATTTTCAACATGATTTTTAAGTTATGGTTGTTCCGTTTTTAATATGTTTTGCACCTTTTTGTAAATACTATACATTTGTATATAACAATTTTTAAGAATTAATACTGAAAATTCATTCCGATTAAAATCAAGAAATGTAATTATACAATATGAAATGTGACAATTCAGTGTTTCTTAGTTGGTTCATATCCGTGTAGACAAATTGCAAGCGCTTGACCATTTTTATTAAATATACTTAAAAATAAAGAAAGAATAAGTCTAAAAAGAATGTCAAAAAAGGGGATCGAACCTCGGACCTCTCATGCATTAGGTAATCACTTAACCGACTGTGCTATTGCGGATGTTACAAGAACCTAAATTAATCTAGTGGGAGTTTTCCAAACGTAAGTGATACACTTCATATTAATTCTCGTAAAATAAACGGAAAAAACCGAAGTGGGATCGAATATGTAAATGAGTGCTATAATATATTCATAATTGACAGGTCAATAAAATCAGACTATAATTGTAGTAAATTGGCTATAAGACTAATTGCAACACCGATATTCAATTCAATGTTTATTTGACTTAAACAATTTGAAAAAAAATGCCTTAACTGGGATTTGAACTCCAGACCTTTCGCTTCCTAAGCGAGCGTGCAAACCCCTCGGCCACGGTGAGGTTATATGAAGAGAACCATATTATTCTAAATTAGGGTTGGAACTCTTATTCTTTCGACTTTAACACAGATCTAAATAATCATGGAGCTTACTATAAGCATGTATATCTATAAAGAATAAAACAATATTAGAAATCTTCGACCATTCGGGAACTATTTTGCTTGAAAATTAATGCGCCTGTCATTTGACCATCTTTACGCAGTGATCTCCCCTGAATTTTTCGGCGTTAGTGTACATATAAAGGGAAGTAACCGCTTCAAAAAAGCGGACTACTTTCGGCATTTGCAATTAACAGCATCAGGGTCTGAAATTTCGCTACCATTATTTGTTTGGACTGACGACCCAAACAAATAAAAACGAGTCCACGACTAAAAGTCGTTAATAGTTTCAGTTGGAGTAGTGTGGAATCTTTAATCGCAACGCATTTCACGAGCAGAAAACAAATTAGCCGCGTCACGCCAAAACCAACATAATTGGTTTGCGACCAGCATGGATCCAGACCAGCCCTACAGACCCTAAAACAAGTAAAGAAACTCATAGCGATGCGCAGGCTGGTCTGGATCCATGCTGGTCGCAAACCCATTATGTTGGTTGTGTCGTGACACGGCTCAATTATTCCCTTTGCTCTTTGATTCTACCTTTTAATATAAATTAAAACAATAAATACATGTTCTCAAAGTACTGCTTTTACTATTGTATAAAAACAAGATATTTTCAGGACAAAGTAGTACAATGTAATTCCATGCTGGTTAGTAAAGGAGTCGAGTACCTTGTAGAAAAGTGGGGGATCAAACGTCTGTCGATTCCCAAGCAAATGGAAGCACCCTGTCTACGAATAATTTATCTGCCATATATACCCGGATTCTCTGACCGTTTGGTAAGCAGCTTTACTGAACCTTGTCATAAAGCATTATAATACTGCACGTTTGTAACGTCGCTTTTCATTGGATAATCGTGACGTTTATATAGTTTTATATATATGGAACAGAATTAGTGCATTTATTTCATCTTGCTTTATGATATCAGGACTTACATTATGCTTGCTTCTATACTTGTTTATGACAATGAAAACCTGCGTTTTGCTGAATTCAATCATGCCTTGTGATTACTGAATGCACTTTCATGTAATTGCAACCTTATGTGTTCCCTACTTAACCATCAAACTCACATATTTTAATCGTGCTATATGTTTAATTGCATCTTTTATTAAGGACAACGTATTATGTTTGGTGTTTAAGATAACATTCTTTGCTTGTTCTTGATATATGTAACATGTTAAGTTTCTGTCAGTAAATAGTTAATTTGCTTTAAATCTGCCACTTATATTGTCGACATTATGTCACAATAAATTATTAATTTTGATCAATAATTGGCGAATTTGATGTGTCTTAGCATTGATATGCTTCAATATATTTACTGATTACAAATATAATGCAATACATGATCACTGCGCATCGACAACGAAGATGACAACGATAGCGATATTATAGTCGCATGTGACAGTACGCACTAGGCAGTTGGCAGTAAGCATAATGCGAGTTGCAATAATTTGTGTTCATATTATGACAGCAGGTGTCGCTTTGTCGGTATATTCCGTTATTTTCCGGATGATCCCGTATTTTGGCACATGGAATAAACAAAGTTACGCCCCCTTTATACAGGGGCGTATACAGAACAGTGTTATTTGGGGACTGACATGTAAAGGGAAAATTTACTGAAAAACAAGAGAACACAATGCGACAGACGAAAAGTGCGTGTTTTTGAAGATTCCTCCAACATGTGGAAAAAAATGATATAGATGTCTCTAATAACTCATCCTACAAGTGGCAACTCATCTCTTATACAATTGTTTACATGTGTGATAGTCGTATGAGCAATAGTGAAATTGAATTTTAAGATATACTATGCTCAAACTTACGGTGGCACAAAGGTGACATGTGCGTGTTTTTATTTATCTCGTGCGCACGAGATACTGTGTCGTGGCCACGGGTTACTAAGTCGTGGCCACGAGATAGTTAAGTCATGGGAACGAGATACTATGTTGTGGCCACGAGTTACTAAGTCGTGGCCACGAGATAATTAAGTCGTGGGAACGAGATGACTTAGTCGTGGCCACGAGTTACTTAGTCGTGGCCACGAGATAAATAAGTCGTTAGAACAAGTTACTATGTCGTGGCCACGAGAAAGTTTAGTCGTGGCCACGAGAAAGTTAAGTCGTGCGAACGAGATAAATAACCAATCAAATTACACTATTTATATGAATTTTCCTACCAAGGATGCCCCAACTTCTCCTGTCCGTAAAAGTGCCATTTATAAAAGTTATTGATTGGTCAAAGATTTAGCGTCATTGTGACCCCTGATTTATGACCAAATTGCCTATAAATTATTAGGTGTCATCTACTGATCTTTTTGAGGTTATATAAACTACTTTCTGTAAAATAAAATAAATATAATTTGGCTTCATACAAATATGTGTGCTTTAAATCCTTTACACTGTAAGTGGGCAGTATGAATATACATGTATAGTGTTATTAAAAAAAAATATGGAAGTTTCTTTTAAAGACGGGCACAACTTTACTTGACCCGTAATAAGAAAAGCAGATTCCTATACATTATGTGTATGTGTTTTTATTTAAATAAAACATATTTAGTAAGAATTTTATAGATTTCAATAAATTTCTGTGATAAAAATATCTTACTGTCAGAAAGATGTGCACAATATATCATTAAGCACAAATGTATGTGAATGTGGTGGTGTGTGCGGGATGTCTGATCTATAATCAGACACACATATGCCCAACATTTGAGCCGCGTCACGACAAAACCAACAAAATGGGTTTGCGACCAGCATGGATCCAGACCAGCCTGCGCGTCCGCGCAGTCTGATCAGGATCCATGCTGTTCGCGTTCCAACTCTTTTACAAGTAGAGAAACTGATAGCGAACAGCATGGATCCTGATCAGACCGCGCGGACGAGCAGGCTGGTCTGGATCCATGCTGGTCGCAAACCCATTATGTTGGTTTTGTCGTGACGCGGCTCATTTGTAATTGACTATGCACATGTTACAAATATAAACAACTTCCTTCTTTCCTTATTATACATGTATAGTTTAATATGTTACATACCTATTCGCTACTATTAGTGACTCTGAGACATTTATTAAGTTAAAAGGCCAATAATTTTTGCTTTTTAATGTCCAAGTCATTAGATAAAGACCTTCGCAGTACCTAGGCCGGTGCTTAACAACTGGATGACAGCATAATATGTTTTGGTAAGGGAGTACACTAAGAAGACTATTGCATGAAACTGACACGTATATTTTCCATCCCAGCTCATGAACGTATATTTGGGGGTAGGTGCAGCCCTTAAGCCAGGGCTTGAATCCGCCACTGTACGTATAACTGCCCCATTGAATAACTGTTTACGAACATATTTTGTCTATTAGACTGTATACATGTATAAAATTATATTTAGTGATGTTCCGATTGTCGCAAGTCGCCGATTATCACTTACTGTTATGTAAAACGACAATAATCGATTCACAAAAGTTTGTTCCGCGACGTCGTCAAAAATGTTTTAATTATCAAAGGGAATTTAATTCTGACGGTAATTTTCCTTTAGGAACACCTCGCGGATCGCAAAAAATCACTCAGAGACAATTTGGAGTTGAACAGGATCAATAATTTAAGTGATGTAAAACAAAAGAAATATAATGTGATGAAAATGGTATTATTTGATATCCATTGAAAAATAAAATCTATTTCGTAAAATTATGACTATATAAGGTTAAAACTGTGTTGAAAAGTGCTAAATGAAGTTCATGTTATTAAATATAATCAAGTGCCTTGGTAAGAAATGTTACTTCCCTATTATTTTTTAACGCGACTTTATTCGAAAGTTATCGATTATGTCCCATCCGACTGAACCGATAATCGATTGGGACAAATCTCATCCGATTTCCATCACTAATTATATTGCATAATCCTTTACTACTTGTATTTATATTCTTTCAACTGCAATTTATGTATTAAGCGCTTACTACATATTTTATTTATATATACATGTACGCAGTATCTATACGGAAAATTCCGATGATAGGCGAATCGCGGAAAAATTCCGTTGATATCGATAACAGAGTTCTCGCCCCTTAACAGTTCACAAATCGCGACATAGTTTAAATTGTTTATCATAATGTAAGATGATCAAACATAATCCACAAAGCCTTGGACACCAAGCTTTATTAAGCATAAACACTGAATAATGGATATAAGCGAATTCATCAGGGAACAAAAATTGTCAATTTTAAATGACTTCAACATAAAAGTAATACAAAAGAACTAAACCGTAAATGGTTTGTATAGAGCATGAAGAAAGGTAACTTATACATAAAGGTATATGACGTTAACATTTTAGTATTCCAAATGGCTTGTTCCAGTTTCATAGTTATCACTCAATGAAAGAATTCACGGGGGAGGAAGTGTTACACGAAGGATGGAGTTCTTATGATAACTTGTTTGGAGTTCTTATGATAACTGTCACGGAGTGACAGGTTAGCACCTCAAACTCCCCATTTAAAGTTAAAAATAACCATTATTTACGCGAGTTCTCCAAGTATATAGAAAAGTTTTCCACAGAAATCCGTAACGTTTTCCAGGAACTCCGTGACAGTTATCATAAGAACTCCAAACAAGTTATCATAAGAACTCCATCCTTCGTGTAACACTTCCTCCCCCGTGGAATTGGTCACTACGAAATGTTTGAATGAAATAATGAAAAATGGAATCCAGCATAATGCAAAGTTGAAATATCATAAAGCAAGATGGAATTAAGCATAATGCAAGTTCTAATGTCATGTAGCAAGATAGAATTAAGCATAACGCAAGTTCCAATGTCATCAAGCAAGATGGGATCAAGCATAATGCAAGTTCCAATGTCATCAAGCAGGATGGAATTAAGCATAATGCAAGTTCCAATGTCATCAAGCAAGATGGAATTAAGCATAATGCAAGTTCCAATGTCATCAAGCAAGATAGAATAAATGCATTAATTCTGTTCCATATATATACACGGCTGCTGTCGATTTATGAAGAAATCTTACGTTTTTCACTAAAAAATGATGCGTGCTGTATTATAAATTCGTTGTAAAGATTGTTGACAGGTTATATGGCCGTATATAAACGGCTATTTGCAATATAACCCTCGCCTAGCGGCTCGGGTTATATTTACAAATAGCCGTTTATATAGGGCCATATAACCTGTCAACAATCTTTATAACTAATAATATTACTGTTTCTAAAATTGGTCTTATATAAATTATAAATATACATGTATGTGGCGCCGTTCGTTATGTCGCAACTACGTTTTTATGTCGCATTTGTACCGAAAAATTTGATTCGGTGACCCCGTAATTTTTTTAGTTATTTTGACTAAGTATACATTTTAAAGGACGTTTAAAGAAAAAAATCAAAAATTTATTTCCGGAATTTTTTAATAAGCCGATTTTAAGCCTAAAAATGCGGCTAAACTGAACGTCAAATTTTACACAAAATTGACAATTTTCTTTCCATTACTCAAACAATTTTCGGCGTAAAACAATAAATCTTATATCTGCTTAAAGGAAAAAATAATTTCCGTCGAATGCTGTAAAATTTAAGATATTTCATCCGCCAATGGCGTTGTTATACCCGTAACAGTTGCCAAGGATACGCAACGACGTCATGTTCAAAAACGGGCTTTGATGGTCAACTTTGACGCCGTGTGTACAAAAATTGGCTGAAACTATCGAAATAAAATCAACGGAACCTAATCAGAAATATGGTCAACTCTTTGCATGCAAATTTTCAAGACGCTACTCGAAGGTTCGCAAAGTGTCGCGT